TTCCCCCGGGCAGGGCATCTCCCACCGCGAGAGACAGAGCATCCCGCTTCCCGAGCTGGCAGGTTTTCCGTCCCGAGGGACCCTCTCCGCCCCGTCCCCGATCTGCCCGAGTCGCTGCAGCCCATCAGTGAAAGGTCAGGGCTGTTAGCTGCGGGTGCCCAACTTCCACGTTTTCGTAATGTAACTTCCAAAAGCTCGTAGAAAGCTTTGGTGGGGGCTGGGTGTTCTGCTAAGAGCATGTAGACAGACTTGATGGACGGGATGTAGGAGATGAGAATTTCCCCCCCTGGGCTTCCGTGTCCAGATCCAGGCTTTCTCCCGAGCTGTGCTCCCTCTGTCCCATCCCTGCTGCACCCCAGGGATGGTAACCCAGCACAGACCCAGGGCCACTTCAGCCCTGAACGGGCTAATTAACTGCACTTAGGCTTGTCTGGGATCGCGGTAAAAGAGAAGAAAAAAAGAAATAAATTATAAAATCTCCGTTTCCAGATAACGCTTAAAACATCTCTCTCAGTAAATTGAGTCATTCGTGGTTTGTTTCCTGTCAGATACTAAAAATGCCATAGCTTGGAGCCCGGAACGAGCACATAGGAACTGCTGCTGCTTTTGGGAGTTAAATCACTTCATTCCATGATGTTTTACGTTACATTTTCCTTTATGCTGTTTTTTTTTTTTTTTTTAAGAAACGCTAATACCAGCTCCTAATGATGTCCAGCTTTCATCTACAAAGTTTTTTTTTAATCTTTATTTATTTACCTGCCTTGTGTTCTGGTGGCTTAAGTGCTGGCTTAGGAATCGGTGGACATCAAAAGCCTAATGCGTTAACCAGGAATGCTGCTCTGCATAAACATCCGTTGGGCTGTTCCTGAGCTCTGGGCTCTCAGAGAAACCGGGCTTGGGACTCCCAAACGCCCCTCAGATGAAACATTTTGGGGTACACTCCAAAGTTTCAAAAAATGGATAATGAAGGATGATGATGTGTGCTTCCTTCTACTGGAAAGCTCTCAGAAGTTGTCAGTGTGCAGCCCACGTGTTAGGAAAGGGAGCATGCGGCCCAAAAGGAAAAATTTGGAAAAAGCAGGGGCTAATCATGTGTTCCCCATGATTTTAATGAAAACTCACAGGATGGTGAGCTGGCAGGAGAGGGGTGTTACGACATAGCTTGCAGGGCACAGCAGTTTAAACTTAGAAGGGAGAAACCAGAGCAGAACAGAACCAGATAATATCTCAGGGCTCAGCTTGCCTAAATAAAAACTGCAGGATCACTTTCTCAGCCCAGAAGTTTTTGACCAGAGGTCGTTCCTCCCTGCTGAAGAAAGTAATTTTTGCCCAGAAAACTGCTGATCCAGTAAATAAGCAGGAGTAATACAATTTTTTTCCTGTTGCCTGCTGGAAACTGGGAGCAGAGCTTCTTCATCAGTGCAGATCTCCTCTGCCCCCAGCAGCCCAGGGGAGGACAGACCAATGACAGCAGCAAATTGCTCAGGGACTCTGTGCTGGAGCACTAATCCAATAAAATGAAAAAATTTGGGGTCCACTCTACTAGCCACAGGTCTGAAATGAAGCAAGTGCTTAAGGGATTGATCCAGTAGATTTTTTTTATTTAACTCTCTGGCATTTAGGTGAATCCCAGAACATTACAAAACTGAGTTCAGGCGCTGTTCTTTTAATTTTTTTTTCTCTTTTTCTTTTTTTTTAAGTTGTGAAATTACCCTAAAAGACACAGAAATACTTACAAGAAAATTCTCACTTCTTTTACCAGAATTATCCTAGCTCTCCAAGCTTTTTAGGAAAAGGAACAAAATAGGTGCTTAAAGAGTCAGTGCTAATATCACAATAACGATTTGTGCCTTCTTTCACTCGTGGATGTGTAAATACCAGATAATTGAGGTATGTTGGCATAAACCCATCCCAGGGGATTCATGTCCTCGGCTAAGGGAAAAAAGAAGTCCTGCAGCAACATGAGGTAAAATGCTGGCTTTATTAAAATCAGACTTAAACCAGTCGGGCAACACAATCAGCTGTAGTGTTTATTCATTTTGTGCTGTTCTGACAAGTGACACTGTCAAATTTAGTCTCCAAATTTCCATTTCCGAATGGAAAGTGTGAAATCCCTTGGGTGCCTTTCTTAGTCCTTCTGAAAACGAGCAAAAACGAGGACACCACCCTCCCTGTCCAAACCTGAGCTTGGGACTCGTTCTGCTTTTCCTCCTCCTCGCGTGGACGCTCTCAGAGTGGGTTTCCCTCAGCCCGGGTTTGTGTCACCCCCTCAGGGAGCCGGTGGATGAGGTGCTGCAGATCCCCCCGTCACTGCTGACATGCGGGGGGTGCCAGCAGAACATCGGGGACCGCTATTTCCTCAAGGCCATCGACCAGTACTGGCACGAGGACTGCCTCAGCTGCGACCTGTGCGGCTGCCGCCTCGGCGAGGTGGGCCGGCGCCTCTACTACAAGCTGGGCAGGAAGCTCTGCAGGAGGGACTACCTCAGGTAGGCATCCCGCTGCTCCTCACACCCTTCCTGCCTCCCTCCCGTCTTACTGAGCACAGCTGGGATTGAGGAATTCCTTTGGAATGGCTCTCGAAGCCTGGCAGCGTCTGCAAGCTCAGGTTTGCAGTATGGGCTCCTGTCCTAGAATGCCTGGAATATTTGGTCTGGAAAGGGACCTTACACCTCCTCTCCTTTCAGCCCCTGCCACAGGCAGAGACACCTTCCACTAGGACAGGTTGTTCCAATTCCCCTCCGACCTGGCCTTCCAGGGATGGGGCATCCACAGCTTCTCTGGGCACCCTGTGCCAGGGCCTCACCTCAGGGAAGAATTCCTTCCCAATATTCCAGCTAAACACACCCTCTGGCGCTTTAAAGCCATTCCCCTTGTCCCATTCCTCCATCCCTTGTCCAAAGTCTGTCTCCAACTCTCCTGGAACCCCTTAAAGCACTGGAAGGGGCTCTAAGGTCTCCCCAGAGCCTTCTCCAGAGTGCACAGCCCCAACTCCCTCAGCCTGTCCTCGTATTTTTTGGGATTCATATGCAGATGCTTTTAGTATTGCTGGGATTCTTCAGTAAAATATAGATAAAGCTAGAGATTATCTGTGTTGCTCAGATAAACAACAGAGTTGTTTATAGATAAATCTTTTAAAGTTTGGGGGAAAAAAAGCATTTTTAATGGAAGTGAAAGCAGTGCTACACACTGTGGAAAAACCAGAATTACTTGATAATGTGAAGAATACAGAAAGAACTCCCAGGACTAGGAGTTGTTGGCATCTGTCATTCTGCACACACCTAACCCCACAGCTCCAGGTGAAGGGTCAGTGTGGCATTCTGGCAAGCAGAAATTGGGAAAAGGGGCTGAATTCCAGTGATCTCCCACTGAGCTGGCAATGAACTGGTTCCCCTGAATGGTTTTAAGGAGTTTTCTGCTTCTCCCAGAATTGTCTTGGAGCTTAAAGGTTTTTATGCCCAGGTAAGAGGTGAAAGATCATTTAGGGTTTGGCATTCTTAAGCCTGGTGCTGAATAAGCAAGAATTTGCACATTTTGCAGAATCAGATCCTACAAATACACTTGTTATGGGTGTTTTCATCAATAACTCTCTGCCTGCCTGCTTTGCCCAAATTTGTAAGTAAAGCATTAATTGGAGACTAAGATATTTCTCAAAAAATTGATAACAAAGGATCTTTACATTCTTGATTAAAATGTATTGATCTTTGCTGTACTGGTTGTGTTCCATTTCTTCTAATGGATTCCTAATGTGTCAGGAGGTTTGTGGAACAGAATAATGATATTTGGTATATTTCCAGCTTTTTTACTGAAGGCTAATTTACCTGCCAATAAAAATGAAACCAAAATCTCAGTGGACTTCCTAATTATGCTGTCCCTGGGCTTTGCTGATGGAATTTTGCTGAGCAGAAATTAAGGACTGAGTTCTGCTAATGGGACCACTTGAAAATCCAGCAGTGATCCGGTGTTAATTACACTTCCCAGATACTTTTCATCTTAAAATGGAAGCAACAGGAAGTATGGCAATACAATTAATGCATTTTCTTGCAGTGCAATCCAACGTTTTTATTTATTTAATAATGCAATGGATATCTTCCCTCATTAATGAAAAATTTGGCAACCTTTTTGTAACCTTAGCGTTACTTTCAATGGGCAGAAGTAAACACTGACATCTCCTGGTAGACAAAAGGAATGATATTCTTTCTCCTTAAATGTCTCTTAATTTACCAGACATTTTTTTTCGAGTTCAGAAGATGATTTAAATCAGGCATAGCACATGCAGGAGATGTGCAGGAGGTGGAAAAACTCTTTCCAGAATTAGTATGGAAGTTTGGAAGTCAAACTCAATGAATACATCACCTGTAACATTTGTCCCTTTTAAAAATAAAATATCAATATAGTCATGCTTCTTTATTACTGATTTGACTTAAACTCTGCAGGGCATTCATTAGAGTCTCCTTTTTATAGACAATGTCATGAGGACCTCAGCAGGGTTTCTCCACGTGGATTACAGAGCAGCCCACAGCATAAAACTGTCTCATAGGTATAGGAGGTCTTTGAATGTGTCCTTCTGAAACCCATCAGGAGTGACTTCATGGATCAGGAGTGCCTTCATGGATATAGAAATGCTTCAAAGAATTTCCAGTGTGGAGACACAGACAAAAGGCAGGAGAGCCTCAGACCATGGCTTATCCCAACTCCTTGCCACAAATTACAGAGCAACAGTTTAAGAAAGGCAAAAACTATTAGCAAAAGGTAATTTCTGTTGATCACAGAAGTGAAAGTGTTAATATGGCACAACTTCATGCAGTGCTCTGGGCAACCTTTGCTCCTCCAATTCAGGATAAGGTCAGAGAAACCAATTCTATTGATAGATTTGAGTAGATTTAGTTTGGATATTAAGGAAGAAATTCTTCCCTGGGAGGGTGGGGAGGCCCTGGCACAAGTTGCTCAGAGAAGCTGTGGCTGCCCCATCCCTGGAAATGTCCAAGGCCAGGTTGGATGGGGCTTGGAGCAACCCATGCTAATGGAAGGCGTCCCTGCCCACGGCAGGGGGTGGCACAGGATGGACTTCAAATTTCCTTCCAACCCAACCCATTCTGTGATTTTATCCAAGCTGAAAACCTTGGATTTTCTGTTTCAATTTTTGGTGTTGCAAAGTTTCCAGCTCTTCTGGGCAGTTTCCCACGCGACCTCTCTCTAAGTCAGCACTGGTCCTAATGGATCAGGGGTGTTTGCTCTGGTTTTGGTTGGTTTTGCCCAGCCAGGGAGCCGTGCTGACTCTGTGCTGTCGCTGCAGGCTCTTTGGCCAGGACGGGCTGTGCGCCTCCTGCGAGAAGCGGATCCGCGCCTACGAGATGACCATGCGGGTGAAGGACAAGGTCTATCACCTCGAGTGCTTCAAGTGTGCCGCCTGCCAGAAGCACTTCTGCGTGGGGGACAGGTACCTGCTCATCAACTCGGATATCGTCTGCGAGCAGGACATCTACGAGTGGACTAAGATCAACGGCATGATCTAGCACGGACGCGCCTGGCGCTCTGGGACAGACACCTCCCGGGCCCGGCTGCAGCCAGGAGATCATCCCTTGGGCTGTGGGCTTTGGAACGGGGGGGGAACGCCATGGTCAGCCCTCGGCAGGCAGCACTGCCTAGAATGTAAACTACACCCAGGTGAAGGAGGGAGAGCAAAGCAATAGTAGCTAGACTGACTCGTGTTCGCAGCACGGACAGTAACTGACATCAGCTGGCAGCTGGGGACAGACACAGCACCACAACCCATCCTCCCAACTGGAGCAGAGTAGGGACTTCTGTAAAGACATGTTATGACGTTGTCACCTGCAGACTAGGATTGTGCAATTCAGTTTTCTTTCTGTCTTGTTTTCATTGCTGAGTTTAGATGACAAGCTCCCACAGTAGGCGTGATGAGGAATACTGGAAGGAAAGAGCCATCCCTCACGTGGTCATTCCAATATGGCCTTACACTTTGGGTGGGAGTTATTTTTGCATGGATTTTTTCTTTTTCCTTTGAGAATGAACAGTGCATCCTCTAGTCCCAGACTCTTCTTTTAAAAAACCCTGCTGGATAGTTGCTTTCGGGCACTGCTGTCTCAAGATGAGATGTTCCCCGGATCATTTCTATACAAATATAAATCTAAAGAGTTGTTCAACTATTTTATTAACTTAGATTATATCAATAAAATATTTGTTGTGTGTAGTAAGACTCTGCAGCTTTAATAAAAATAATGAAAGATTTGAGTGTTGTTCTTTCTTTTTTCTTTTTTTTTTTTAAATTGTTCTGGATTTTTTTTTGCTTGTATTATTAATTTTATTTTTTGGTAGCAGGGTTTCTACCCTTTGCCTACAGCTGGATCCACTTCAGGTTTTGTTTCAAAGCACAAATGTGAGAACACCGAGGGTTCAGTAAATCTTGTGCTCTTCATGCTAAGAAATAGGAGAAATCAGTGTTGTGTGACACCAAGGCTCTTTGGTGTTTATGAGGATGTTTTGGGGCTGGTTCTCGGTGTTTTGCAACAGATTGCATCTATCTGATCTTGGAAATCGTGTAAAATTTGGGTCTTTTAGAAAGGTAGCTCTTCCTGATTTTGCTCTGGATTAGGGAAGCCAGGATAATATCATGAGAGCCAATAAACCTATTTAGAAAGAATTAATTTCAGTCATCTTTAAGGTCCCTTCCAACTCAAACCATTCCATGATTCTATGATATCATATTCTCTCCAACTTATTTTTCCTGAGGTGAATAGTCTTAAGTCTCTTCTTGCCTGAAAGCTGTTTCATGCCTCTGATAAACTCTTATTTCTCATCTCTGATTCTACATGGTTATTTGTGAGAATGGGACTACAACTCAAGTTGTGCTGAAAGGCACTAAAAATTAAAGCTTTTCCCACAACTGAGCAAGTCTGGCACCCACCCAGAAGGTGCTTCAAGGCAAGTCCATTCACTCCATCACTAGTGACACATCAGGAATAGCAGCTTCAACCTGTGGATATCCTCTTGACTGTTCTCAATAAACTCATCACCCAGGGGATGTGCCAGCCACTGATCAATGACAACCTTCTGCATTTCACAATGCATACTCTGAGAGCTCTTTTCTGGCTTTTACTGTCACAAGGAGAGTTGGGAGCAAACCCTTTAAATCTTGTTATCAGTGAAATTGGAAACTGCACCTAATGAGAACAACTTGGACAGTAGTTGTTTGAGGGCGCTGATATTTAGCTATTTTCCAGTGATATGCTGACCTCTGGAGGCCACAGGCAGATTATAATTATAATTATTAGCCTGAATTCCTGCCAGCAGAGGCAAGGAAAGGCAAGGAAAATACAGCTATCAGCTCTCTCCATTGACAGTGGCCCTTTGCAAATATTCTGTCCAGCAAGAAACAAAGCCTAAAGTCATGAATGAGTTCATTTACAAAGCTTGGTGGTGTAGCCAGGATGCTGAGGCAGGGTGGAGGTGCACAATGGTTCTCCAGGTCATGTCACACATACATAGAGTGTGAGCCATAACAGGGCTGACTTTCATGATTTCACTTCACAGAGCCTTTGACTGAAAATTTAGGGCAAGGGGCCTCATTTACCTCTGGGCTGAGATCAGGGAAGAGTGTTAATAGCTCAGGGAGACCTTGTAGGTTTGCACTAAGTAAACCAAGACCTGTGTTTTGTTCTCACCTCAGAAAGTGACTTTTGGCAAGGTAGTTCAATATTTTGCTTCTCATTCACCCACTCATAGAATGGAGATGTTCTCACTTATTCCATAAAAGTTCCTAATGCAAACACACTCATTATTTTGTGTAAGGTCTAGTTTACATGGGGAAATATATATTTTTAGACCTAAATGTATGTATTTGTAAAGGAAGGGTCCTTTACATAATTTTTTTTATAACACCACCAGTATCAGGTATCATTTTTTGTAAGACCACCAGGTTTATTTAGTCCATGTAACTTCAGAAAGAGCTTAAGCTGAATTAGAAAGTGGCAGAAGAGCCTCCACTTGAGCAGCATTGTTCTCCCCAAATGATGATACCAATGTATTGCTGGACTTTTCCATAACAAATTCCCAAATTCCCTCTGAGTCCAGGAGGAGAGAGAGCAGATTTCTATTGGAATTAGTATAAGCAACACTTTACCTCATCTCAATTGAGTTCCTTACAGTAAGGACTCTCTGCTGCAAAAACAAGAAAATAAAACATTCCAAAAACAACAGCAGAAAGGAAAGCAGGGCTGATTTGAAGTCCTAAGCAAAAAGCACAAAAATCTGAATATGACTTCATCACTGATACTCAAAGGCGACGTCCTTTCCGCGTTTCCACTATCAGCAGTATTTTAAAAGGCGTATCATCCGTCAAGATTCCCCTTCTTTGTCCCCATTATTCAGTGTCATGGCAGGAAGATGAGAGCATTACCATCGATATCACTTTTTTAATTCCCTGCCCTTGAATAAGGGCAATAAGAGCCCTGCATAATAGAGTTTTCAGTGGAGAGAGTAAATGGGAATCTCTTGTTAATTCAATCCAGGATCCAGAAGCCATCTCTCCCTTCTCTTTTCTCAAGGTAATACTCTGCCTCCAATTGTCATTATAGCCGAGAATGAAATTATTTGAATTCTGGACACATCAGCACAAAACCCAAGACTCCCTGCCAATTTCGTTGCCTGCTTGGAAGAGAACATCAGAGAGCATCACTCATTTATACGACTGCCAGCCTGAGACTGTAAATTCAGAAAACAAGGAGGCCTCAGGTGCTGCACTTTAACAGGTCTTTCTGCTCCTGAATCACCCCCACCTCACACACAAGGTAACATTTTATCTCTGAAAGGCAAAGCTTTTAAGCATCTGCCAGAGCACACGCTCTGTACGACCTAAATGTGAATTGAAAATGAGACTATTAAGTTTATTAATTGGTATCAGTGACTTAAGGCTTTGAAGGAGATTCATGGCACTCGGGAAAATAATCTATAAAGATTTTTGTTGCCCTAAAAAGACAGTGCAGCATCAGCTTATTTCACTTGCAGCAGGTTCATCTCTTTTATGGAGCACATGCTGCACTGGAGGCAAAGGGAAATTTAATGGACACTGGAAAAAATTATCAATTCCTCTGTCCCACAACAACTTAAAAAAGCATAAAAAGACAGAACTGAGAGATTGAGATATGCTATCAAAAACATTTAAGGCACTATAATTAAATTAAGATTCAGAAGTCTGTCAGTGAGATGAAGATTAAACTGGCAGAAAGTTGAACCGTGTTTGAAGCAACTTGTTCCCTCCTGCTGAGGGTTGCTTTGTACCAGGCTAATGAGAAGGCACATCTCAGAAAGGTTCTAACAAAGCAGCAGATCACTGATGGTAATTAATCAACGTGGTTTGCAGGAGCATACACCATGTGCCATTTTCAAGTGCCTCACAAGCATTAATTAATGCATTATTGTATGTCTGGCTCCTGTTTTAAGCCACAAGCTCTGCCCCATAGCAAATTTTTGATTTTTTAAAGACGTTTCAGTGAAGAGATGTTTCTTTTTTTAATGAAAAATTGAGTGCACCTTTGGCTAAGTGCTCCATGATTACCTCTGCTCTGTATCTGGCATATTCTGGTTACATTTACGGCTTGGCATAAGACAGCAAAGCCTGGGAATGGACTGCAAGAAGGCTGATTCCTGTGGAGGTGCTGAACTGGAGGAGAGGCAATAAGGATTGTTGTAACAGGAAGTGACCAGGGTGATGGAAATCTATTGCTCTGCAGTATTGAGAGAGAAATAACTTTTGAAAGCTGTGACCCAAGAGAAATAACTCCTTCTGTAGTCCACTAGCTCTGTACCAGCCATGTTTCATGTGATTCCTGAGATGTTTCCTCTTCAGGGCTGTAACTTCTTGGGTTGGTTGGTAAAAATTCATAGGGTTTTGGTTTTCTCCTCTTCTCAGATATGTCTTGCATCTCATCTCAGACAACTTTACCAATGAGTTTCATAACAGTTCTGATCTGGTTTTGAGATACAGAAATGCTTCAATTATTTATTTTAAAGAAACACAATAAAAGTGAAATTCTCCTTCAATAAGGCACATAGCCTTCAATCTGGCATCGTGACAGCTCCCCAAACCAGCGCTTATCATGTTGCTATCTCATTACAAAGATCCAAGACCTGCAATTATCAACCTAAAGGTGCTTTGCAACACCGGGAAACTCCTGGTGGGCTCTAAGATAAGGCCCCACCACGTGGTGGCTGTGATTTTCTGCAGCCCATGGCTGTGATGAGCGGTGATGCAGCTGCCCTGGAATTCCTGGAGCTGGCCCAGCAGTGAGCATGACCCTCCATGCAGGAGAAGCATGCTGTCCAGCTGATAAGGGAGCGTGCATCAGCAAATGCCGCTTGTTTATCCCGTAAAAACCGCTCTGGAGGAGTGCAAGCAGAAAGAGGCCGGGTCTGCGCTGCACAGATAAGAGCTCTGACCAAAAGGACGACCAAAGGTCGCACCAGGCCTCCTGGAAACTCCCAAAGAGAAGCTTTCAGTGGGAATGGATGACTAAGGGAATTGCAAAGGGCTTCTGGAGGCTTTTATCTGTGTGTTACCTCTCCAAATGCAGCTCAGCACTTCAGTCAGTTGTTGTTGCATGCCCTGATGAATGTGCTGTGGCTCGAGGAGTCAGTAGCCAAAAATCCCCACACTGCAGCCGTGACCGAGTGCCTGCCTCATTAACAATCTCAGCTAATGACCTAAGAGCAGTGTGTGCAGCTGGAAAGTGAGCTGCTATCTGGGTCATGCACATGTGGGGTTTTTTCAGGTCAGGAAAGGCTCAATAGCAGTTTTCTATAGGGATGACTCATTCTTCTCTATGTTCCTCAGGTAAAGGAAGATCTCCTGAGCTCCCACACAAAGCAAGCAGGGTCTTGGCACTTTCCATGGGATCATGAAATATTCCTGCAGCCCCTTTCAGTCTTTCACATATCCCTTAGGCTATGAACCACATCATGGACTGGGAATCACACACAGTGAAACCACTAGAATTGTGTGAAATTAGAAATACTCCTGAGGCAAGAATCATGCCTTTCTATGCTATCCATGCTCTCTAAAGTAAATAAACTTTACTTTTTATACATTCCCAGGTAATGTTTCCATTTGTAGTAGTATCTTTTATTTGATTTATGTGAGAGGATTATATGAATTGAAAACCAACTTGGAGCTAAGCTAGGCTGTGAAAGAATAAAACTTGGCTATGGTTTGTGTCAACATGGAATCTTTGATCT